CATTCCAGAATGGGGGTATGTACTAAACATGTCCCATGATGCCTGAGTCACAGCGAGTCACAGCGATCACACTCGTGAAACAGCAGCTGCTGAACAAAACAGAGCAAAGGCCTTGGCCTCATCCTTCAGGCAGCGAACCCTACAGCTCGGCCAAGCTGTGGAGCCACCGGCCTACGTGCCTCTAAGTGTGAAAAGCACACTCATCACTCCTGATAATGATTCTGACTACCGCTGCATGAGCCTCCTTTAATTCCAGGGTTGCCATGGTACCAGCCCTCGTCTTCACTATCTGTGATTTGACAGATTTTCAATGTCTCAAAAGACAAAGAATGAAATTAAAATGGTTTTAACCAAAATGTAAAGAAATCTCATCTCTTTTCTTTTCCTCAATTTCACTTGCGATAATCATGAAAATTTCACTCATGCAAAGGAATAGGGAAATACAGCCAAATAATAACTTTGGAATAAACAAACTTTGCTGGAAAGTATAATAGACAATACAAATACAAAATAGGTCAGGTATACACATCTGCTCCAAATATCCCAATCTTGTCAAACTTTCAGTCTCAAAGCAGCCTGACACAAATATCAATCATGTATCATTTTTTTTAAAAAAGGATTTGATTCTTCCTTGTTTCATATTTATTGCTGACAGTCATAAAATATTCAGTCGGACTGAAACCTATCAAAGTTGCAAACAGTGAGATAAGCTTCTCATAAACAAGGACAAATCTTCATGAATCTCTGTGCAAGCACATTGGACCAGTGTTTTCAATTTGTTTCAGCATTTGATCAGTTTTTTCATTATGGAACAAAAACAGTCCTGACTCCTTAAGGATGCAGCCAATCACAAAAGTGACAAGAGCCGCTACCAGCTTGCATTAGTAAAACACAGAGCCTCTTCCTGACAGCATGCAGCCACAAATACATGGAGAAACACAGGGATCATCCCATGTGAAGAAAGGGAATGTGTGGCTAATTCTGCCCAAAGCATCATGACCTTTTTATACTAGACAAGACAAATAAGCAAATAAAAGATTTTCCAGCAACAGAAATTTAAGAGTGCAACTGGAGGGATGGGGATAGTTTAAAGAGTTATTTTCCACAAAGTTAAACCCCAGAATAAAAAGAAATTACAATTAAAAATAATTAGTAGACATTATAACAAACATCGATCCATATTCTAACTGCTTTCCTGGCAGGGCTGCAGGAGGCTGGAACCTGTCCAAGCAACACAGGGCATGAGGCTGGCAACAACCAGGATGCCAGTGCATTGAAATATTTAGTAAATATTTTGATGGCTCTCACATATTTTTCATATCCTGAAATCCATCCATCCAACGATTTTTCCTAACAATATATCTGACAGTGGTGGATAGTTCAGGTCCATAAAGTAAAAAACCAGACCAAGATTTTTGTTTCAACCAAACAGTTGAGTCCTCTGTGCCTGTGACTCTTTATGCTCAGCTGGTTGGTTCTTGGTCTCGATTTTTACTTTCTGTAATTTTCCACCACTGATATTAGATGCAGACTCACAGTGAACCTTTTGCCCATCACAGGAAAGACAGGGCAGGAGGCCAGACCTCACTGGAACGGGACGTCAGTCAGTCACACACTCTCACATTACACTTAGAACGACGAGTTATTTAGGAATGTGTGATGACGACGGAGCACCTAGAAGAAACCACACGAACACGACGAGGACTGCAAGCTGCTCACGTATCAGAGTCCAACACCGGGTCGGGTACCTGCAGATAGTTGCTGAAACGGGCGGATTTTAACGTCCTGGAATTTTACAGGCGGGTATGCGGGTGGGTAATTCATCACACACAGCTGGGTAGCAGGTCAATCAAAACAGTATTGTAGCCTGCAAAAATAACATATAAGCGAAACTATCTATGCATTAGACCATCATGTAGAAATTGTCATCATCACAGTGTGTTCAGTATGTCGGGGGTACCTTAGATATAGAGTTGTGACGTTCGCGAACGAACCGATTCTTTTGAACGGCTCATAAACATGAACGATGGGAGCCGAGTCGCGGCTGGAGGGGAGCCGTTCTTTTTTTCCTATGCGTGTTTCACACAGATGCACACAAATTAGCTCCTCCGCGAGACAGAACAGTTATAAGGGGAGGGGCGCACCCAGCGCAGGGGTGCTACTGCCTAACAGCATGATGATAGTTGTGCACGCATCCTTCACTTCCACATTGTGTGGAAGTGTTTGTAGTAAAAGCTGTTTTGCACAGAAATTCATTGCAGCCGGCTTTGTTTTTGATGTTTATTTGTGAGTAGGTATTGTATGAATAACATAAGTCAACGTAGCTTTACACATACACACACTTTGTACTAAAGGTAAATCCAAAATAGTGATGTCACTGTCTAAGCAGAGGGATGTTGTGCAACCATATGGAATATAGTACACACATGACAAATGAGGTAATAATCAATATTTCAGAATAATTCAAACTCAGATATTGGTGTGTGATATCTGAGTTTTAATTATTTGACTACAAATCTCACCTCATCATTCCTCCCAGTGATTATTTCCAGGATAAACTGAGATGCCCCCAATATTTAAAAAGAGCCAAAAGAGCCGTTCTTTTGAACGGCTCTTTGAAAGGAACGGATCGCCAAGATCCGGATCCCCTCAAAGAGCCATAAATCCCATCACTACTTAGATAACCGCCTCGACAAACAAGCGAGCGGCACTCCAGGACTCGTGCTCCCGTGAGGCGTTGCGGTAGGGAATAATTTGCATGTGGGGAAATTGCGGGTATTTGTTTATGTTTTTGGGAAGATTAGAGGGAGAGTAGTTGTTATAAAATAGAAGTAGGGAATTGTTGTGGGTAAATTTTTTTGTGTTTTAATAAACAGTTGATTTGGGTCCTTCTCGCCAGTCACCCTCCTCCAGAACGTTAGCGAGTAGCTGTGGGAGTGTTTGTGGCGTTGGATAGTTACTAGCACGTACCAGTGGGGGTGCTGCATTTTTTGTGTATAAAACTGCTCTGCAAGGCTCGTTGAGCCGAGAAATAAAGAATCCTTGCTGGAGCATCACAGTATGTATAGCTTAGATCTATCTGATTTGATTTTGTGTTAAGCAGACTTTTTTGTTTCAATTCAAAATTCATGTAGGCCTAGCACTTGTCACGTTGAGAGGTGCATAGAAAAAATAATTGTGTATAATTTATCACGGGTATTGGGGGGTAATGGGTGGAATGTTAACGGGCCCTGATTAAACTTTGACAGGTGTGGTGCTGTACTGTGCAGGTCATGTATAGAGCTGGGGGCAGGAACTCAATCCACAGGCACGGAGATGCAAGGCCACCATTATGGAAATATGTACTGGGCAGTGTGTTATTAGCTGGTCACAAAATGAGACCATGATGCCATAAGCAGCCCAATGGCAAAAAGCAATCTGGGACACACTGAGGAAACAGGGCATAGTCTTCGCAGTTTGTGTATTGCAGCTTCAGAAAAGCCAGGTACATAAGAGAAGTTAAAAGAAAACAGCACAACTGATACAGTAATTATGACGCTGGTCTTCAGACCACAATGGTACCTCTACGAAATCCTCAGAGGGTTGTAACCTGGCCCATAGATTCCAGTTCCGCAAATTAGGCTAACCGGTAAACAACCTTTGAAAGGAGCAGTAATGCATGACACAGGCTGTAAAATATTTAGTTTTTCTTTGCAACCTCCGACAGCAAGAAGATCCCAGACACTTACTGTCAGACAGACCCCTTTAATACCCGCCTCCACCATCCACCTGGGAAATTTCACACGCTGAAGAATGACTCGTGTTTGCATAGAGGTTGTACACGTGTGCGGATCCTTATCATAA